TTTTTTGATAATTGGGATAAGTGTATTTAGATGTTTCGTAAAATCAGTACATATAGATTTTCTTACCTCAGTACTTACTGAGAAATTATTATTTCCAGTATATGCTTTAGCATACTTTATGAATCTCTTCCATAATCTCAAAACAGGGTCGCCTACCTTAAAGTCTTCAAAGCTTAACCAATCTCTATAATATATTTCGTATGTATTACCTATTTTCTGATATAATATATCTTGTGCTTTCTTATAAGCACGTTTGTAGGCATATCTACGATTAGATATCTTTTTAGAATTGATTCTGTTTTTCACATTTATCTCTTTAATATACGACTCAAGCCACTTCTTGGCCTTATTTTGAGCATAAGTATCGATCTGTTTATATTACTCATCTGAATCCATAATCTTCATGATTTTGTCAGTAGAAGGTAGTTCGTATTTTTTATCATACATAATAAATCTGACACAAAGTCCATTAATAGTATTTTCGAAGTAGTGAGATAGATCCAATTCCTTATTTAATTCTTTTGCAATATCTACGAATTCTATTTGATCAGCCTTTCTCGGTATAAGCTTCTTACCAGATAAATCAAAGACTTCAGGGTCGATCATTACATAACTAAAGCGTTTCCTGAGATCAGGAATCTTGCTTTCATATTTTTCTCTCATCTGTCCTATAAATCGCTAAACACATTTGTTATCTTTATTAGGTTTTCATGTGGCAGTTTCTATAAACTGATCAAAATCCTATTGCCCAGGATTTGTTGTAGCCTCTTTAAGGACATCTTCAACAATTTCATAGAGAGTTCGATTATTATTAATATCTATTGCCCTTCACATAATTCGGTCTCCTATAGTTCTAAATAGTTGAGATTTGCCTTGCTTTACAGTATCGATCCCTTTAATGAAAAGTTTATCTTTATCTGGTTTGAAATCTACCACTTCTTCATGAGGGATTCTGAAATATTTCTTCTTGCCAGTAAAACATACAGGGAATAATACCTCTTCATAAGCTATTTTAAGATAAATCGATCTGCTTTTTAACCTAAGATATTTATTCACATCATCACGTAATTTCTTCATTTTATCCATAGTAATTTTAACTATTTTGGTCCAATACTCTGACTTTGTGATCGTATCATTACTATTGTTATAAGCAGTATCGCATTCTTTATAATATTCAGTGGATCAGGTAAGATATAAAGAATCAGTATCCCCATATTTTATACCAAAATCTTTCTTCTTAGTTACATACTCTGCAACAAGTTTGATATAATATTGTCCTGCCGATGTGACACCTCCGGCAAGTTTACGTGAGAAGAAAGATGAAAGGGGGTTACCTGTCTCACCATAAAATGTATTCATATATAATTTTACTGCCTTTTGCT